GGGTAACCTTACCCGCCGCGGGCTGCGGGAAAGGGCCGGGGGCGCGGCGGGGCCGAGCGAGGGCCCCCCGGCTGCTCTCGAAATCGCTTCTGTGAAAGGGCGCAGCGTGCGGGCAAGAGGGGCTGCCCTTCCCGGAGCGGCCGCCCCGGCCTCTTGTACATGTGCACTGATACGTACATGTATATACATAAATACACTCATATATATATATATATATATATATATGAGTGTATCAGCCCGGCTTGTGCCGTAGAGATAGGCAGGAGCCCCTGGAGGACTGAGCTGGAAGGACTGCGTAGTTGGGAATGGGAACGGCTTAAGCTCAAACTGCCCTTGAGCAGACAGTAAATAACAACAAAACTTCACCTGGCATTCGCAGGCCTCAGCCAACTTTTACTTGGGCTTCATGAGGCTGGTCCTGGGCCTGTGTGGCCTCTTCCAACACTTATAGAGGTCTAAGATCTGTGCTTGGTCATTAGGTAAATAATTGACAAAGTAACGTGCACTTTGGGTTTGTGCGCTGTGCTTGAGCAGTGCTTAAGCTCAGTTCTGCCCTGGAAATGTCTGTGCTTTTATGTAAAGTTAAGAGTGTTGTAAGAAGAAATTTTAAGACTGCCCTATCCTGACTGCTTAGGGCAGTGGGGTTACAACAAACTAATTCGTGGCTTTATCCTGAAGTTTTGTTCCAGGAATTGAAACACTTACTCCCCTGGGAGGAATTTGTTAACAGAGCAGAAATACAGTATCAGTTTCATGTGGAATTTGGTCTGTTTGTGTGTGATAATAGACTCTTTAGAGCCAATCAGAAAAACCAGCTAGGCATTTTTTGTATGCTACTATGTGCTTTTGATAGGATTTGCATTTTGCACAAGGTGGGCTTAAAATGACAAGACGTGTATGTTGAAATTGACTTGTTAGGATAACATTATCAAGTGTCCTGAGCAGGAGGGATCCCCATGAGCCTTCTGATTTGAATGTTTTTTTGCTTTTAATGGAAGGGTCAAGAAATTACATCTGCTCTGAACGAGTCCTAGATTTTAGTTTATCTTATTATCAATAAGTTTTTATTATGTTTTGTTTCCTTTTTTTTTCCTTTTTCAGATATGATATAATGAGAATTATTTTTGAATTATATTTTATGGAATGAAGTAGAAAAGCAACACATGGGAGCATAGTTATTTATAAGTAATGACAGTTTATTCATCTTTATATGCATATTTGTGCTTTGTGATTGACCCAAGAAGTCTTTGGTGGAAGCCAAGAAATAAATACCTGTGTTTGTATAGACCTAAACTCTCCTGGAAGATAAATCATGCCACTCATCTTAGAGTTCTTCATACAACCAAGCCTCAGTGTAAATGGGCCAGAAGCAGAACGCTTTGGTGCAACAAACATGTTTACAGCCATGACCTTTTGTTTGACAGAATTTCTAAACTGCTAACTTCTTCTTCCAAAGCACTTGCAAAAGTGAACACTCGCATGTCCCGAATCAAGAGTACTCTAGAGTCTGTTTCCAAGGCGGTGTCTGGCACTCACAGTGAGCTGGTTTCACGGATAGCTCGATTAAAGCCGCATTCAGGTGCTCTGGGAAAAACAACTAAAAGTAATGCAGATGAAAATAACCTCAAAGCAAATCTAGAAAATGATAAACAAGTCTCAGATGCCAGAACTCAGGACGATTTCAACAGTGGCCTAGCTGCCAAGAGTGCGACTCACGAAGAAGAAGACTTGGTGTCTGCATTGCTGAGTTCACGTGGTCCTAAGCAAGATACTCCAGAAGATTCAACATATAGTAAAAGCCACCTTTTTCATGTAAGTTACTTCTCTACAAATTTTGGAGAGACTTACAACTTTGTAGCAGACCATATCAACTGGTACTTCAGTAACAGCTCCGTTATGGATCAAGAGAAAAAGAGGAATTCTTTATTACAGGACTCTAAAAGTGAAGTGAGCGGTAAGCTTGATTCACCAGAAAATGCTGTAATGAGTGAAGAAAGTAGAGTGAATTCAGCAGCTACTTTAGTTCCCGAAGCAGAGGCTCTGGATGCTGAAAAGGCTAATGTTGCTGTTCCAGTTTCCACTAAGAAAAGTATTGCAAACTTCCTTTCCTACCCCAGTAATAGTGTACAAGCTTTTGTAGACAGCTACATTGGTGGGCTGGTTCCCAAGCTAAGATCTGATGCAAAAGTTGCAGCGGAAGTGAAGAGTAAACAGCTAGAGCAAGAAGCAGCTGAGAAGGATGAGGAGGACCAGGCAAGTGAGACTAAATCGGCAGAGGAGAAGGAAAAACGACTCTCTCTCCAGAGAGAAAAGGCAAGTTTTTGCTTAGTGTTTTTATTTTTTATATATACCCAGATGTGTGTGTATATGTATTTGTTTTAGCTCCTGTAGTAATTGTTGTTGTTGTGTATTTCAGTTATATTAAGTTGTACTCAGTTGTATATGTTTTCAGTGTACTGTTGATGTGAGCAGGATTTATTTACTTCCTGGTAAACAGAGGGGTGGGTGCTTACGTTCAAGACACCCTTATTTGGAGCCTGTAACAGACCTCTAGTACAACACGCTGTCCATTACTTCTGAGAATTCTTAAAATAACCCTTTGAGATTAGTCTTCACAAGTTTCGTGCGTGTATGATTGGAGTAGTTTTTATATTCTCTATATATCTTTTTTTAGATTATTGCAAGAGTGAGTATTGATAATAGGACTCGGGCTTTAGTTCAAGCCCTACGAAGATCCTCTAATCGCCGAGTCTGTATCAGCAGAGTTGAAGAGTTGACTTACCATCTTCTGGAGTTTCCAGAGAGCAGAGGCGTTGCGATTAAGGTGCAAATACTTACTTTTGCTTGTCAAAGCATATTACTTGATAGAAAAACTGTTATAGACTGATGTGAAACCTTAATTTTTTAGTTGTTTTGTGATTTATCACATTTTCTACTTGTAAAGATTGCAAAGCAATCTACTGAAGCAGATTTATGTTAAAGTTACAGGTAGCTTAGTTAAGACTGCTACATTAAATTTAGAAGCATACATCATTGCCATGTGGAGAGATAATGTAGCTTTTTCTAGTGGGACACAAAGGTCATACAGTGTGTCCTCTCTCACAAGTGGCCAGGCCACCTGGGAGTGTACAGTACAGTTGATATACATGTGCACAATCGTTTTGATGCTTCTTTGCAAGCTCCGTCTGAAGAAAGGAGTGGGGACTAATCATCAAATAAGTCAATATATTCTAGAGTTATGCATTCTCTTTCCTATATGCAGTGAGAGGACAGGATATAGGCAACAGATTATCCTAACAGTACCAGCCAAATCCCAGTATTTCTTACTCCCGGGTCTTTTTCTGTATTGAGGTGATAGATACATGACGTGGGTTGCAGCATTGCTGGAAGAGAGATCTCTGGGAACTGAACATAGACCAGAGTTGTTGACCAGGCAGGGCTATGGTTTAAGCAAATCTGTGAATAATTCTTTACAATTCTTACATTATGAAAGATTCTACTGATTATAATCTTTATTATACTGATTGTAATCTTGATTGTAATCTTTGAATGATTTTGTGAGAGGAAGTGTAAATTTAGAGATCTTTTGTGTGAAGAAAAATTATAATTCTTATTTTCATTTTGTTATGACAATAATGTATTTTGAATGCACTTACTTTAAAACTGTGATAGTTATTAAGCAAAATCTAGGCCTCTAGTGACGCTCATTATGAGTTGTTTTATGGCCAATGTAGCAAATTAACAATAGTAAGACTAAACTGCTGGTAAACATAGTTTTTATGGCTACTTTGGAAAGATATAAACTTCCTCTTGATTGTTTAAACCTGTTAGGAAGTTACTAAAGTAAGTAAGAGTAAATAAGAGCACGGGAGCTATATAGTATTGAAGTCCTTTCCTTTTCATGTTTAAAATAGAGATAGTAAGTGTTTATATTTTTAAAGGGCTAGACTTTAATGTGTTATATTTACACTTTAATGACAAGCTAGTAAATTCAAATTTGGATTCTTTTGATATAAACATTTGAATGATTACAAAGACTGACTTTTCATTTCGACTATAGGAAAAAATAATTCCATGCCTACTACGTCTCAGACAGGCAAATGATGAAAGTCTTCAGGCTGCTGTTAGAGAGGCCTTAGCTATAATTGGATATACAGACCCTGTGAAAGGCTGGGGAATTCGAGTCCTCACTATTGATGGAGGAGGAACAAGGTAAAACTTTGGGGTGTTCTTTTTTGTTTTGGACTTGCTCATACTGTAACTCCTAATAAAAATTTCACTTTCTCTCAATTTAGACTCAATTTTGAGTCTAAACCTTCACCTTATGATTTAGATTTCTGCTGCAGATGAGTATGCAAGTCATGAACACTTATTTTTGTATGAGCTTGTACTTAAACATCTGTGTATCAGTAGTCCCATGATACTGAAATAATTCATGTATTTAAGGTTAACTGTATGCATAAGAACTTACTACATTGGCTATTTCTTCTCTGGAAATAAGTTACCTGGTTCTTTGGATCAGACTGGTCATACAGATTTTGGAAATGCAGACCTAGTATGTAATGCTGGAATGAGTCTATAGCTTTATGACTGTCATCACCTAATAATACAAAAATATTTCTTGGATCTTTCTGGAGGGCAACCTGCCTTAGCAGCACTGGTCTCACACACAAAAAATGAACAGGCTAGTGAAAAAAAGCCATGCTAGTAGTGCTCTTGATTTTTGTTTCTTCTATAACTGGCATTATTTTCTTGAAAAAAGTATACACAGGCACCCCAAATGTTAAGTTACTTGGGCTCTAGTTTTGCATGAATTTATGTATGTACCAGAATTCTGAGTAGTACCAAAAAGTACCTGTTTAAATTTAAGGCTGGTGTTTACCAAAAGCTGTTTTCAAGCATTTTGGACGGCATTTCTTTCACAATTATGTGCTGATTCACAAATGTTTGTTGATTGGAAGCGAAATACAGAGTTACTGCGGTTGCAAAACTGTGTCAAAAACAGTTTCACAAGTTTCTTGTTTCTCCAACTCTGTTGCATCAAAATGACTTGTCCTCTTTAGAACTGTGCCACAACTTCAGAGTTATTTTTATTTTTTTTTTTTTTTCCCCCCCAAAGTGATCGCTTTTGAAATTGGAGATTAAAAGTTCAGTGTAAAATGCATAGTTTTGAGCAAGTAGAAAGAGGAATTCTTTGCAGATAACAGCATGGTACATGTGGATGTGTACCTGTGGATGAAAACATGTGGATGTTTTCAGTAGCGTGCCTCATTTGGTACTGCAGGCGTACGTAAGAGCTATAAAATTAAGCCTCAGTCCTGAAAAGCAAATATAGTTTAGTACGGAATTTTCTGTGGCAGAGGAACTATAATGCATGTTCTTTGACTTAGATTTCAGAAATAAAATGTGCCTATATATGAATGCCTTAACTATATTGTTAGATTTCTAGAGGAATGATGTTACAGAATCAATTGCAAAAAAAAAAAAAAAAAAAGTCCTTAAATTAGCATTTTGCTAACATTTGAAGTAGTTGCCTACATATATACTGTGTTCAAATTTAAGTGCCTTTTTTTTTAAACTTTTTTTGGTGGTTGCTCTGAACAGTAGTACATTGCATTTAATATTTTAAATTTAAGTATTTATGAAAAGTACCCGAGTTCAAACTTATTTTAAGAGAAGTATTCCATACTTTTGACTATAAAGATACTGTTTTTGTCCCAATAAGAAATGAAGACAGCTTGGTGGTACATGCTTGATTATTAATAAATTGGTATTAGTTTTATGATACTGTAAATACAGAATTCTTCCTTTTCCTATGTACCTCCTTCAGTGGAGAAATGTTCTTTGTATTTTACAGAACAGTATCTTGAAAATGATTGACACTATTGATTTTTGACTTTCCAAATGACTTAATTAGGGCATGTTATGTTTTCAAAGCAGTAGCTGTGCCTGTACCTCCAAATGAAGCAAGTCCAGAGAGTGACCGCAAGCACTAGTCACTGATTACTGTGCCGCTTAATTGATAGGTTTCAGTTGGTAATAGTTCTTCAGCTAGCCCAAGCCTCTACAGGTTTGGAGAATAACATGCATGAGAAATGCTTCTCAGTGGAAAGACTTGGCAGGGTGGCCATTGCTTTGGCAGCCTTCCTGCCCCGGCAAGTCCTCCGCGTGTTTTTTTTTCACACGTACTCTGCCCATGGCTCTGCACATGCAACAGGTGCTCTCAGCTTTGTGCTGGGCTTGAACGGTCTCCTGTTATTTTGGGCTTATTGAGTTGAAGTAGAAAAACACATACAGAAAAATAATTGCCCCCATGTGGGTCTGCAAAGAGCGAGGGCTAAGCGCTATGTAGTGTGTATGCAGCTAGAATTGATCCTGGGCCTGTATCCCCTGAAGGAGAATATTCCCCAGGCTGTGCTACCAAAGGATATTCTTGGAGATGTTGTGCCAAAATGGAATTGTACTTCTAACATGTGTGACATCTTTTCATTTCTAATTGCTACTTTGGTCCCTGAAGTACTGAGGAGAGTTCTTGCTGCTGTAGTTATTATTAGGTAAAATTACTTATAATTAAGCAAAGGTGGACTTAATTAGAGCTGCATAAGATAAAAGTACCACTGTGTGAAGTTCTGTTTTCATATTCCAGGGGTTTAGTTGCGCTTCAGACTCTACGGAAACTGGAAGAACTTACTGGAAAGCCAGTTCATCATCTTTTTGACTACATTTGTGGTGTAAGCACAGGTAATTCTTAATCCACCAGTCGGTATTATGCTATGAACATGTTGAAAGAACATTTGAAGATAAATGTAGATTTTACCAACTTTGACTGTAGACTGGAAAAGTACAGGTGTCATTTTTAAAAGCTTTCTTTTTTCTTCTTCTTTCAAGTAAAAGCTTAGGGTGATTTATGATGTACTCACTGCTTTTAATTAAAATGGTAAACTAATTTGTCATTTTTTTCAGTGAATGTGAAACCCTCGTTTTGCACACAGAGGCAGCGCTATTAGATATTTCTGTAGCTGTCTGGATCTTTCCAGGAAAATAAGGTAGCATTGTACAGGGATTGATAGAGGGCCAGTAGTGTTTAAAGTCTTTATTAATGAACTAAACAATGTGACACGCCGCCCTTTTAGCAAGATCATGGATGATGCCAGATTAGGAAGAGTGGTCAATACATGGGAGAGCCTTCTATTTAAAGGCTGTAGAAATGACAAAAAAACATGTGAGGCTTGACAGAGCCAAATACAGAGGCTGTATCTGAGATGGAATAACTTGACCTGAAAGAACAGGCTGAAGACTCATTACCAAGGAAGTAGCTCTGCAGAAAAAGACTTGGTTCTGCTGGAGCACGTTCAGTGTGTGGCCCTTGTAGCAAAGTAAACTGACCTCATACTGGCTTGTCTGAACAAGAATATACCCAGCACAGTGAGGACCCTCTACTTGACCCTTCTGCATCCAGTTTAGGGCTGCCCAGTTCAAGACAGACATTAACGTACTGAGGAAGTCTGGCATAGAACCACCAAAACAGTCAGGGTATTGAAGACTATGACATGAGGAGAGGGTGAGAGAACCAGGTTTATTCTTTTATTTACAAAGAGAAGGCTAAGGGAAGACATTGTTGCAGTTTCTAACATGAAAATAGGGAGAAGGTGGAGCCAGAATCTTGAAGGTGCACAGTAGTAGGAGAAAAGCCAACAGCCACAAATTGAAATAAGAAACAAATGCAGTTATCTATAAGGAAATATTTTCATTGTGAGAGTTGTCAAGCACTGGGAGAGGTTGCCCATACTGGGTTTCAGATGTTGTTCTGTGGAGATTCAAAACTCATCTGAGTGAGGCCATGAGCAACCTGCTCTGATAGAACCTGTTTTTTCGAACTGGGATTTGGACTAGATGGATGTCTAGAGGCTCACCCCAGCCCTAAGTGCTCTGACTCACCTTCCACAAGCAGAAACTCCAAAGCATAAGTGCCTTTTAGAAAGGCCATAATGATTAGTGTCTTCTAAAGGTGATTGTTGAAAGTTAAAAATTGTTAGTTATTTTTCCATGTGTAGCAGAGGACAAATTTTATGAAAAGTGATTTTGCTGCAGGACATCTTTAGCACCACTGTCATGATAAGTTAATGGCCTTTCTTTTAGAAATACATTGTGGCCTGGGTATTTGGTGGTTTGGCACAATTTGCTAATAGTTATAGATGCATATAAGTTTATCCATGTTGTAACTAAAAAAGAGTGGCAGAACTGTTTTGCAAGTAGGTGTCACAGGACAATTGAAACTTTTTTAGACCTTTCCCCACCATTTCCCAAATATTTACAGGATAGGGAAACGAATAAAGTAGCCATAGTCCAGAATTTCAAGGAGCACCTGGCAAAGTGTTGAATGGAGAAATTGTGAGGGTTACAGCTCAAGGTAGGAACAGAGCTGGTTAAGTAAACAAGGAGAAGCACACCCTACTTGTTCTTCATGGCTAAATACTTTATTTAAAAACAGCAAAATCAAATGGATCTAAACACTCAAAGTTATGCCATGATACTTCCTACTGTACCATCTCAGAAATGTGTTAGAGGGAGCTCTGGAAATCTGTACCCAGACTGTTGTGAAACTCTTCTGTCTCAACTAAAATGTCTTAAGGGCTGCTGTACTGTATCAGATTCATCATTCCATCTAGCTCAGTAACTTTTTGCAAAATAGAAGATGCTAGTAAGATAAGGACATTATTCTGAAATATTATTCTCAAGATACTAACAGCAATATAGGAATAGTTTCTCCTACTATATTGTTCCTGCCTTCAGTGAACTGCAGGTTGGAACCTCCTGAGACAAAATTCATCTTTACTGATGAGTCGTTTCCTTCCCTCCTCCCGCCCCCTGACATGGTTTCTTTCCAATTTTGAAATGTGTTTTGAACACCTTCCCCTTTGAAGAAGTGTTTCTTTCAGGAGAACTCATTAAAATCAAGTCATGGTATTAAAGAGTTGGAAATTGCCTTTGGAGACTGTTTCTTTCTCCCAGGGTGGGATCAGTTATGCCTGTTCCACTGCTGACAATTGTCTAAGATTTTGAATCCTATCAGAAATCTGTTTTAGTGCTGTGCTATCTTTATATTTGAAAACGTTTTCCAAATGTTTACCATGGATCTTGATGTTACAGTTCAAATCTGCTGCTTCTTATCTGATGAAGGCCTGCTTTCTCTCTCCTCACATCCTGCATACCTCATAGAGCTGATGGCCAACAAGTGCCACCCATGGATGAGCCCAAATCTTCAGCAGTGTCCGCTCAGATGTTTTTGTCACAAGCATGGACAGCAGGATTCCCTCCTTTCCTTTCACAAAGGTTTTAGTTGTACCAGTTTGCTCTGACTTTCCTTACAGACCTTATTTTTCCTTGACCTGGTTGTTCCCAGACCTCTCCTGGGTTTCCTGGGGCTTTTTCTTTTTTTTTCTTTAAATGGGCCCACAGCCATTTTTTGAAGAACATCATTCAAATGCAGATACAGTACTTCAGCCCTTACTAGTCCTGAATAAGGAAGAAATACTTTATTTTCTTTCAGATTATTTTTCAGATAACTGTATCCATATATTCTCTAAAAAATGTTTCTTAACCTTTCAGGTTTTATGTATGTATTTTTTCCTGAAGTGTTGGCCTTCAAGCAGTGGCTGGAGTGTAGAAATTTGTGGTACACATTTGTGGTAAAAGCATCGGATGCTTTTTCACTGGAGCATTTAATATAGTCTGTATCATACTTTGTATGGTCTGTATCTTTGATTTTTTGGCTTTGCTATTCTGTCTTGCTTGAAATTCCACAGGTTCAGCAAAGCCCTTGCCTTGGATTTTTATGTAGTGCCACTTGTTTGCTGACAGGGATAGCAGTTTTCAGTGCTGCTGCTTAGTGGGTGAAGGGAAGATGAGCTTGCTCTTGGTGTGAACTTTGGTCTTTGGGCTTGAAACGTAACCAAAATAAGAAATGCCTAATATTATAGGTGCTGGAGAGTTAAGAGGAAAAGAAGGTAATGAGTGATTTGTGTGATTTGGGAAATCTGTGCTGCATTCCAAAGTTTGTTCTGCAACCGTCCTTTTCACATGCTGCCACGCTGGGTTATGCTTTTCCTAAGCACACGCTAGATGGCAGCATGTGTGAATGCCTAATCATTATGAATGACTGCAAATAAATGCATTCCCAAACAGTCAGCTCTCCTGTTCGCCTATTTATCTCTTTCTGAAAAAAGTATTGGATTTAATTTGCTATCTTCCCTACATATTTATGAAATAATGCCATCTGACAACCTTTCGTAATTTGTCTTTGAAAGGAAACTCTCCCTATCTTGAATATGCCCTCTTAAAAGATAACTTGTGAACTTTGAACAAGAAATTAATGATATGTGTCAATTGATCTCCCCTTTTTTACAGTAGATATTGTCCTAGCCTATGAATTCTATTAAATGATAAACCATCTTTACCATATTATTCCAGGGTAGTTTTAAATTTCAAAATATTTCTTTGCAGGTGCTATATTAGCTTTTATGTTGGGTTTGTTCCATATCCCTCTGGATGAATGTGAAGAGCTGTATCGCAAGTTAGGATCGGATGTTTTTAAGCAGAATGTTATCGTTGGAACAGTCAAAATGGGCTGGAGCCATGCCTTTTATGACAGCGATATCTGGGAAAAAATGCTCAAGTAAGTATTACAAAAAAAAAAAAAGAAAGAAAAAAAGGAAGGCAAAAAATAATATATTAATAATGACCGAGAGTCTTCGGTCTTCAATGTTTCATTGTTAAACAATCTGTTAAAACAAAAAGGATTAATATATGCTCTCATTCTTTAAAAATATCTCCCTGTTTCAGTATTTGGAAAATTACTGAAAGATTTTAATGCAATGATTTCTGTTTCCAGGGAATAAAGTAAGGGTTAGTGCTCTAATTTATGATTACATGCCTGCATGCTTTCCAGCTCTGCTTGATCTGACTTATTATAGGTCTATCACAAATTTTCATAGCCACTTGCTGTGACTTTTTTACTTATGGGAGACGTGTTAAGAAATTAAATGATATGCCCTCCTAGGATTTATGATCTGAGCTTCAGTAGTAAGGCATTTTGCACGTTACCCTCCTTTTTGAGAAGGGAAATGAACTAGAATGATTGCACTGAAGAAATATTTCCACAGTGTCAAAGCTGTCAAAGAAATAGTTTGGTTTTGTTCCTCCCCATTCATAGTCAGACTGTCCCATTGTTTATAATTCTCAGCAGCTATGGTCATAGTTCCTGCAGCAGGGTAAGCTGGGTTGCTACTGAAAGAGCTTAAACAACCTACTCGTTCCAAAGCCTGTGCCACAGCACCTCCTTTGTGGCAAGCCCAATGTGCTTGTAGGTAGCCAGCAAGTGAGGTCAGAGAACTGATCGGAGTTAGAGCCCAGGCTGGGAAAAGGGGAGGCCAGGGAAGAGGAGGAAGAGAAGGGAAATATTTACCCTCCCCAGGTGAGTCACATGGGTTTTTGCTAGATCTTTATTCATGTCCCTACTTTACCACACAAATGTTTGTGCTGACACCTCAGAAAGTCTACTGTGAAGTCACAGCTGCTGCATTTAGTGGTATTTGGCTATAAAATGCTGTGAAATTATCATTGCAGAAGGCATCTAGTTTGAGCAAAGTATTCTATTTTTTGTGTGTGTGTGTGTTTTTTATTAAATTAAAAGCATATATCCAATATTTAAATATGACACATTGCCAGTTTTCCCTACTAAGCCAAACACAATTTCCCAGAGAGCCCCGTAAGTTTTCTCAGACAAGTTGCTGATAATATTTTAGTTCTGTTTAAGTACTCCTGCTCCTTAGTTTGTTTGGGACATCTTTTATATCACCTGATATGAATGTCAGCGCTTTCTGCAGGAAGAGCTTTCTTCTTGGGCGCACGTTGGCCATCAGGTAGATGGAGAAGGATGCGCTGTGTAGCATCTGCTGCTGCTGTGGCCTGAGCTGGCGGCTGTTTGGTCTATGTGCTGGCCTCAGGAAAGTGAGGATGGAGCAGAAATAACATCCTCAAACATGCAGAGAGTCGAAATGTATGAAGACAGAAATGAAAGATGAGATTGAGAGGTGAAGTGCAGCACATATACTGACTCGCATCGTTTTGATCAACTACTTTTTCTTGTGAAGTAAATCAGTAGGATCACTCAAGTATGTGATTAAGTGAGTAGCTGAATCGAGACCACAATCACTTTTTCAAACTTATTTCCACAGCTTAGATAGTAATGGTCCATTGAAGTCAAGTGCAGAAATGTGATCTTTAAAATCCAAGGGTTTTTTTTCGCTTAAATGCATATTTTTTGAATTGGGAATGATAAAAATGCTTGCATTGTACTGACCTAATTGTTTTCTATTTGTATGTTTTTAAAGTGATGGAGCATTTTCACTTTTTTTTTTATACATTTATTTATAGAGAAAGAATGGGCTCGAATCTTCTGATTGAAACCGCAAGAAATTCAAAATGTCCTAAGGTGAGTGTGGAGCTTTTTGTTTTTATATAAGAGAATTTCATTGATTCCTGGAAAATCCTGCCCTAGCAGCTGTGATCTGTTGTTATGTAGTGAGAAAACCGAGTCTCTCTTCCCTTTATCTAGGCTTTCTCCAGTCGCATGCACAAGTCTTAAGATCTCTTTCTGTATCATCTGAAGGGCACCAATTAATCGGAGGGGTGTTATATACAGCAGCAGCACGAGAGTGAAAGATGAGATAGCAAGGGTATTTTATTTTTGGTGAAGGATAGTGTGTGAGGAAAGAAGGGAAATATAATAGCACGTTTTAGAACAATCTGCAATTAACAGGTGTTTTGGTGTCGTAGCATTATATTCAATACTTTACTATTAAATGGAAGACATTAATGTTTTCCTAAACATAGAAACATGTGCTTGTCTGACTGCGTTCCTATTCCATGTCTAAAATAAGAATATGAAAGGGCTGGACAGACATGTTACTTTTTGAGAGAGAAGCCCTCCTATGATGACTTGGAAGTTATCTTTGAACTGGGCCCTTTGGCCTCCTTCCATGTTCTTCAGTAATAAAGTGTGTATATAAATAGAGTTGAAAGCAGTAATCGTGGCAGCAACTTTGTACTGCTGGCAGAGGTGGCTCTCTGACAAGGCACAGTAAAATCAAGATGAGATGCACAGTTTTGTGCTTTCTGCTGTCACTAAGTTCACCAAGAGATGGATCTTTCAAAAAGGTGCTTATGACTTTACAAGTTAGACTGCATCATGAAGTGGAAAGATACAGGGGAATTACAAAAAAAAATCAAGCCTCTTAATATAATAGGTTTTCTATTAAATTCTTGGGACTTTTTTTTCTTACTGCTTTTAGTAGTCCTAGGACCAGACCCTCTTTCTGACAGAAATGAAAACTTTTTCCTCCCTTTGCATGATGCGCAAATCTTTTATGTGTTTGCATTCTTCATTTTCATTTAAAGGTTTTAATTTTTCTTTTATAAATATGGACTTCCTGTAAATTCAAAGGTTTACTTAAAATTATGCAGTTGAATGGAAATTAATACAGTGATATCACAGCATCAGCTGCTGGGGCTGTTGGATATTGTTCCCAGAAGAAAGGCTGCTGTATATGCACAGCACAGAATAGAGCACCCACTTGTCTGCTGGAGAGTATTGTTTTAAACAGTGCTGGCCAGGCTGCTGCAGCATCACTAAAAGGTCTTGCACATTCTTATAGCCAGTCGTCACTACGAGTGGTCTCACCCCGTGTGATTGTGTCTGGCAAGTATGCTGATTTCTGCACTCATACGTTTTGTTTAATGACATTATGGTTTGGGCTTTTTCCCTTAGGATTGCATATTAAAGCTGTTTCCGTGTCTTCAAAAAGCTCCTAGAAAGCCCTTATGAGGGACTGTGGGATTGCCATCCTCCCCTCGCACCCCTTCTCAGCCCTTTGAGAGGAGTTTTTCATTCTTATTTTGGACTTTAAGAGGTTTTCTAGGAGAAGTAAATTAAATTTACAATTTTTAGCCTGTGTTTCATGCCATTGTTACATTGCTGGTTACTAACTTGTGAGAACTGCACACAGACTTACTTTTAGTGCAGTACTCACATCAATTAAGACTTTTTGGGAACCTTTAGGTGCTTAAAATAATTAGTTGAATATGTGGGATACTGCTATATGTGTAGGGTACTACTATATGGAGAATTGAATAGAATAGTACTATATGGAGAATTTAGGTAGTATTTGCACTTGACTGGGTCATAGCTATAAAAGTTTTTTTTAATTATATATATGTTACTCCAAATTTGTTTAAATGTCAGTGGGTTGATATTCTAGAAACAGAATAGCTGGAAGAAATAGTTTAAAAATAGCAGTTTCTTTAGGGAGTGCTTCAGAACGTCCGTTTTCCTCTCTTGGAATGAAGACATTTTCTGCTGACTGTTGCACTTTGGGGTGTCAGTGGGAAGGTGGTAGGAAGCTGAGTCTTTATGTCCTTCCAATTGCTCCCTTCTCCCATTTTAGAAACAAAACAGGGTAAGCTGCCTTCCCACGAGGGCTGTTCTCTGGTCTTAAGATCAGAAGAATTCAGGGTAGTTTAAGCTTCTCTGACTTTTCATGGCCTAGGAGAGAATGTTGTAAGGAGGTATCTTAAGAACTTTGCAGCTGTGATTCAAGTTGATAGGAAAGAAGCAGTAATGAGCTTCACGGGCAACTACTTCCATATTTTACAAACAGAATGACAATAGACTATGACAAAGTTTATATAAAGGACAAATTCATAAATTATATTTGGATGGTTGCTGAATAACATTAAATACAGTGGAATATATTTCGAATGAAATTCAGTTTACAAAATTAATATTTAATATAATGGAAAAAAATAGCATTGTTTTATTACCAGATTATACCTATTACCATTTCAGAAAGTCTTAATTTCCATGTGAGCCTTAATCGGAACCAAATCTTTTCCCTCTTCCCCAGAAGTGCTTGAAAAACTGCATTCCTCTTTTTGTAGATTATTACTCACTGCAATTGGAGCTATAACTTTGTGCTTTAAAAAAAAAAATTACTTTTTTCAATTTGAGCAGTTATTAGAAAAGTGAACAAAATATGGTCTGAGTAGGATTCCAGATTTAATGTATAAATTGAACTCCATGATGTGGAAGTTTTGTCATTATCACACCTGAAACTATTTGTTCCTCTTAACTTTGCTAGGTAGCTGCAGTGAGCACCATTGTGAACAGAGGAACCCCGCTGAAAGCGTTTGTTTTCCGAAACTACAATCACTTTCCTGGCGTTAAGTCTCATTATATTGGAGGCTGTCAGTATAAACTGTGGCAGGCCATCAGAGCATCATCAGCTGCACCGGGTTACTTTCAGGAATATATTTTGGGCAATGATCTTCATCAGGTAAGTTGAAATCTTCTCCTTTTTTTAAGCATTTTCCAAGATTATATGTGAGGGGAAAAAAAAGGTATATGAATTCTGTATTAGAACTAAGCCAGGATGTTAGTGGCAGATGGAAAGTCTAGAATACGTAGGAGTAAGAAAGACAATCCTTAGCTTATATAGCCCCTACAGAACTAGAAAGAGTAGAGGCTTTGAAATGTTCATCTTGTCAATACAAACAGAGTTCTTTTGCTGTCCCTTTCTTCTCTGCCGGGCAGGAAACTTTATATGAGTTGCAAATTGCCTTTGACTTCCTGCTTACAACTGGTATTTCATTCAGCAGTCTTTCACTAAACAGATGGTATAACTTAATATGTAACAATACAAAAGTGTGAAAAATTCAAATTGGGCATTTCAGTGTTACTTTTATTAGTGCACAATTTCTCTTTCCACTCTACTTTTAGCTCTCTTTGCTTATTGCTTGTAAAGTTCTGTACTGGTTCTGAGCCAAGCCATTTCTTGAACTTAGGAGACAACTGTGGAATAAACCTTTGAGAATAAAGTCATGTGTTCTATCAACAGTGTGTACCGCTTTAATGATCCTGAGCAGTAAATAAGGAAAATAAATGCCTTTTTAGCAGTTTTTTAATGCTTGTGTTCTTGTCTTCCAGTGCCCCTTCACTGTTTACTCCCCAATTCTCTGGGTTTAATAGAATACTACTTACAGTATGTATTTACTTAAAAGTATTATTGGTTGCTTTAAAAAAAGTCTCAAATTTGTGACAGAAAGAAGTAAAGAGAATAACTGAGTCTAGACCCTTCCAGAAAGAAAGCATAGGATTTTCTCCTTTAGAAGGTGCTATTACATTGCAACTGTATTAAGGTTAATCCCATCAGATGAATTAACCATTGGAAAGTGACATTAGCACGTTTTGAGTAGTAAGCTGTACCAGGATCACATGCTGAATTTCTCATAGCGCCCATTAAAAGGCTGTATAAACTCAGTAGCAAAGTGCAATGCTCATAAATTATGCTTAAGTAACTAGTAAGTGTAAGACCTAACAGTGAAAGAATCTTTTTTTTTCTTCACTGATTAACAGATAACTTGACATTTGCATTGCAAAAACATTAAATATTCACGGAGTATATAACGGTTTAAAATAACTGTTTCAAAATTTAAGATGTGTTTTGAATCAGCATTCATAAAAAGATGGAATATTCTGATATATAGATTGAGGTTCACTAAAATTCTGCATAAACTGGAGGAGATGTGGTCTCATGGAAAGCAGAGTGGTTCTGCTGCATCAACCAAACTCTGAGAGTTTTCCCATTTTCTTAGCGTGTTGTTTCCCCCTTTTTTTTTTTTTTTTTTTTTTTAATACCAAATACTACCTGAAATAAGCACAAAGATTTTTTTTTTTTAAAGCTTAAAAGATGGAGTGACATCATATATTCCAACACTAACATTGCTTGAGACCCAAAGACATGGTCACCTTCCATCTGGTCAAGCAGAAGTGGAAAGGGAACTACTTTATCCTTTGAAGCTCTTCCAAGCCACTCTTTAACTGCTTGAATGGGTCAGTGTTGAG